CATCATCACCATCATCATCACCACCATCAGCAGCATCAGCATCATCTTTATCACGTTACCTTCATCCTCACCACCACCATCGTCACCACCAGCATTACCACCATCATCATCATCATCATCATCATCATCACCACAATCACCATCATCATCATTATCATCATCGCCATGTGTATCATCACCATCATCACCATCATCATCGTCGTCGTCGCCGTCACTTCCATCATTCCTTGCCACGCCGTCGGCCCCCAGACCGCTATGAGTGGCGAGGCCGAGGCGATCGCAGAGGCCGCCAAGATGAAGCAGCAGTTGGATCGGCTTGGTGTAAGATGAATGTGAGGAGGGCTTGCGAGTAGTAATTTGGCCGTGGCGGCCTTAACCATTGTCACGGAGGCGAAGGTAAGGAGGAAGTCGCGGAGGAGGGGTAGAGGTAGGGGGAGGACGAGGATGAGGATAAGGTTCCACGAGTAGGTGTTTGGCCCCGGCTGCCCGTGCCAACTCGACCCCGTGCATGCAGCGCATGAGTGTACAAGTGCACAGAGCATCGTACCAGTTGTACCTTGTTGCCTGGAGCCATCATCAAGAGGCTTCCGCCATTCCGCCGACCCCCAGAAGAGGAGATGTGCGGTTTCCGCTTTCACATGTGTTGTTTGACGATCCCCGACGTGCTGCCTGCGCGCAGTTGCTGCTGGTTCATCTTCCTCTTCCTTCGCGTCTGTTGGGCGGGCTTCTTGGGGTCCCACTGGCTTGGTATCGCTCGGACGTGTGCACTTTTTTTCGGCGGGGACGATTTAGGAGCATCCTGGATCACCCTGGGAAAAAAGCCACGCACGAAACCGAAAAAAGCACAGGGAGTGGACGTCCGTGCGACGGGGAGAGTGTACATGGGCGTTCGGCTGTCGCCCAGGGCCAGGGGTGCTCTGCGCCCTGGGGTCGCGCTCGCGGGGCCCTCCGTTGTTGCGCCTCCACCGCCGTTGAACGAGCCGCTGCGTCGAGCGAGCGCCGCTGCTTGGTGGCTCATGCTGGCGCGATGGGGCGGCACCGGCAACACTGGCGGCTACTCTTCGTTTTGCTCACGAGCGACCGCCAGCCGCCCGTGCGACGTGCTCGCGCGCGAGCGCGCGCACGCCGAGTGCCGGGCCACCTGAGCGGGAGCAGCAGCAGGAGCAAGAGAAGGGCGAGAGGGAGCAGGACGACGCCGCTGCCAGCCAGGTCTGTGCTTTGGGCCAGGGCGGCGCCGAGAAGCTACCAGGGAGCAGGAGGAGACAGGGGGAGAGGCAGGAGGGACGGCGACGAGGACGATGTGGGGGCCCGCCCCCGCGGCGCGGAGGAAGCGCTCGCCTCGAAGGGCCGCGCCGCGGAGGCAAGGGCGAGCTCCGAGGCGCGCCGCGGCGCCGCCTCCAGCCCCCCACCCGCCCTTCCTCTCCCTTTCTCCCTCCCCCCTCCACTCCCCGCCGGCCCCCCCGCCCCCCCCCTCCTCTGCCTCCCCCCTCCATCCATTTCCCCGCCCCACCCCACCCCCCCCCCACGTCCTCCCCCGCCTCCCCCTCCCTTCCCCCCTCCCTCCCTCTCTCCCCCTCCCTCTCTCACTCTGCCCACTCTCCCCCTCCCTCTCCCCCTCCATTACCTTATTCACCTCCCCTCTTTCTCCCCCACCTACGGATTCATCATCTGAGTGCTGCACACTTTCTTTTTACCACTGGTACTGTCTGGTTGTTCTCTCACCTATTTCGCGTATTGCGTTTTCACACACCCAGGGTTCAAAGGGTGTTGTGCTACACTGCTTCTGTCAGAACGTGTTCGGTCCTTCCAACAATTGTGTTCCCGCCGCAGCGTTGGCCACAGTTCAGGATCGACGTTTTGTTTCCGTCGTTCAGAAAAGCGTCTTCGCCCCAGAAAGCGCTCCGATGTCGTTGCTGCCCCCCCCATTCTCCCTTCTTTTCTCGTCCCCCTCCTTTCGCTGGTCCTCCTGACCTTCCTGCTCATCCTGGTCTACTCCCCCTTTCTGCTCATCCTCCTGCTTGACCGTGCCCACTTCCAATGCGCAAAGCCCGGCTTACTGATTGCGCATCACACGACGCGAACGCTAGGGACAGAAAAGGATTCCGCGCAACTGGAATGGATGGGCGGGAGGGGTGGGACGTCAGATACCGCGCGAGTGCGTGTAGCTTGCCCCCCCCCCTTTCTCTCCCTTCCCGCCCTGCTCACCTCCTTTCTCACCTCCCTTTCTCCCCTCCTTTCCCCCCTCCCCTCTCTCCCCTCCATCTCTCCCCTTTCCCACCCACTTCCCCTCTCTCTCTTCCTCCCCCCCCCGCACTCTCCCTCCCCCCCGCCCCGCCTCCCCGTCCTCGTCCTCGTTCGTCTCCTCGCGGCCCGAGGAGCGAGATCTGCGCGCAGCCAGAGATGCCGTCCAGGCCAACGGGGGGAAACGGAGGGGAGGAGGAAAGGGTGATGCGTTTTTCGCTCTCCTCCTCCTTTTCTCTCTCTCTCTCTCTTTCTCTTTCTCTCTGTCTCTCTCTCTCTCTCTCTCTCTCCTTCTCCTCCATTCCTGTTCCTTCAAAATAATTCCTCCATGCCGCACCCCGAGGCCCGTTTTTAGGGCGGGCCAGGCGTTTCGCCTGGGACTTTCTCACCACTTACGACCCTGAAGCTTCAAAATTGGCAACAGCTTCACAGATGGAGGGCGGGACGCTTTCAAAATGTGGCTCTCGCATTAGCGCCGCGCACATTGAGGGTTGAGGGCGGATCGTTCTCAAAATGTGGCTCTCGCTTTAGCACCTCTCGTTTAAAAACTTGGCAAACATTAACGGGTTGAGGAGAATCCGTTTTCAAAATGTGGCTCTCGCTTTAGCACCTCTCGTTTTAAAATTTTGCAAACATTAACGGGTTGAGGAGAGTCCGTTTTCAAAATGTGGCTTTCGCTTTAGCGCCGCGCAAATTCGCGTTAAACATTTGCAGGAGTTTCACGGATTGAAGGCGGGTCGTTTTCAAAATGCGTCTCTCGCTTCAGCGCCGCGCACACTCGTTTTAAAACAAATGCAAGAGCTTCGCGGATTGCGGGCGGTGTCTTGTCAAAATGTGGTTCCCGCTTTGGCGCCGCGCACACTGGTTAATACAATTTGCAAGACTTCCACTGGTTGCCATGATCAGGGTACCAGAAATGGTGCTTTGGAAAGGCTCAGGATTATGAGGGTGCAACAGTTACGTTCGTTCGCGGCACGATTCAGGATCGTCAAAACGCAACAGTCCTGTTGATCCGTGGCGTCGAAATCCCGAGCACATTGTTTTTGGCATGATTCAGGGTCTTCGAATGGTCGTTTTCCTTTGAAGCATTTCCTTCAATTGAAATGGACCGTCGTAGGGGCCAATGAAGAGGGAGCTTGGAGGGATGGTTTATTCCAACATCGCTGGTGGTTCTTAGGTTTACACTGGTCTTCCTCCTCCTTCTCCTCCTCCTCCTTCCTGTCGCCCCGCGGCCGGGGGGGGCATTTACTGCTCTGGTGGGTACCGTATCCTGGTGTTCGGCCCTTCGCCGCGGGGACATCGACAACGCCATGTGTGATTCACGGCTTGGTGTCAGCATGCCAGCTCGTCTTTTGGGATCCCGCCCCACGGCACCTTGCCTGGGGCCGCGGCGCTCAGCTACGCCCGTGACGCTGGAGCCATCTTGAGCTTCCAGGCGCGGGGATCGTGCATTTGGTGGAGTGGCGGGGCCGTGTGGCCCAGAAGTCCCAGGGGCCTTCGTGCCTACTCGCCTTGGGGCACCAACCCACTGGCACGTGTCATATGTTTTGGCAGGGGTTGATAGTCGGGAAGGATTTCACAGTGAGGAGGTGAACCGACCGTCCCCCTCCGCACCACAGCCATCACGTATGAGTAGCGAGTCGCGGGGCGACAAGGCGCTGACATGTACTTCGACCGCGTTGCGTGAGCTCCTGGCCCATGAGCGAACGGCCTCCCCTGCACATGAGGCGGGTGGTCTCCCCGCGTGGGGGCGGAGGGCGGCCCGCTTTGTGATGAGGCAGTGCTCTTTGTCCGCCTCCTGTCTCCATGGATTCATGGCTCCTCCTTCCTGCCATCCTTTTCCACCACCACCGCTGCCTCATTCATGTTTCTGCCACCTCCGCTTCGCATCCATCCTGCTGCTTCTCCTCCCTTCTCGTCCTCCTCGTGCCCTGATGGTTTGGGATGGTTTGATGTTGGCGAGGGTGGTCATGGACAGTAGTGGCGATTGCGATACAAACCGACGATATCGGCTCACATTACAGAGCATCGTCGGAGAGGCATCTCACGGCACCCTCCTTGTGTGCCTGCGCAGCCCGCTCTGGTGTTTACTCCGACGATTATCTTGTGATTCCTTCATCCTCGTCCCATGCCGCCACACATGCGGTCCACAAGTCCAGTAATAGGTCCGTTATGTATGTCGGTCCAGAATTCTCGATACTTGCGATCTGTGCTAGCCCTCATGCCCACACGTTGGGTATATCGTCATCAATCTCTGGACTGTTGGGATATAAAATGATCCAGAGATTCATTCATGGACGTGCCATCCAGTCTCACATGGTTTCTTCTGTCGTCTCGCATATGTCTGGAGAGGAGGTGGAAGATTAGGTGGTTCCGCCCACCTAATCCAGCTTGTCGTGGCCCCATACGGAGCTCCACCGATTGCCTGAGTGGCGGTGTTCGCACGCGGTCCCTCCCATCCAGCACAGAGCTCCACCGAAGGCCCCAGTGGCGGTGTTCGCATGCGGTTCCCTGGAGCTCCACTGAAGGCCCTAGTGGGGGGAAGGGGGAAATGAGAAGGATGAGGATTGGTCAGAGGAGTTGGGCTGCTTTTGCTGAGTCTTCCAAAGCTTGTGTCATGGCACTCGAGCGTTTTAGTCCGTTCCTTTGGTATGGAAACCGTGCTCATGCATAGTAGTGTTCGTTCAGTTGCTTCTTGGCCTCGGCCTTCACCTGTCGGTCCCGCAGTGGCCCGAGCTGTCTTTTTCGGCAGCGTCCGTAGCCATTCTGGCTCAAGGCATCGGCTCAAGACCAACTTTCTGAAGGCCGAGGGCGGCATCGCCGCTCCGCGCGCCCCCGCCGCAGCGGCGACAGTGCTGGGGCTGGCTGGGGCCGCGGCCGGCGATGCCCTCGCTGCCGCTGCCCCGGGGCGTCCGCTGCGCCGCGACGCCGCCAGCGCCCGCGCGGTCGCCGCCGACCCCGGGGCCCGCGAACGCGGCTCAGCGCCCGCCGGGCGCGCGCGGCTTCCTGGGTGCGCCGCTCGGCGCGGCCGCGGGGCGCCCCTGGTGCCTGGCCACGGCCCCTGTCGCACTGGCGGCCGGCACCTCGCGCCGCTCGAGGCGGAGAAGGCTCAGGCCTGGGGCGGCGGTGGCATCGATGACTTGGCATCGCTCGGACGTGTGCATTTTTTCTCGGCGAGGGCCACCGAGGAACATCGTGGATCATCTTGCAAAAAAAAATGCGCACGACGCCGAAGAGTGCACGGGGAATGGGCGTCCGAGCGATCGCGAGGTGAGGGGGGGGATAGGCTCAGGAAGGGGCATGCGTTGGCCCCCTATCGCCCACTCAGCGCCAACAGGGGCCCGAGAGCCCACGCCGCCCAGGAGCGTGCGGATTCGCCGTCGGGGACCTATCGCCGAGTTGCATCGGCGATGCATCACCGGTTCCAGCTCGATGTGCCACCTCCCCCTCTGAGCCAGCCCCCCACCCCCCTACGGTCAGAAACGTTGGTTTAGCGTGTCGCTCCGCCGGCCCTGGCCCACCACGCATCGGCGCGCCATGCTATCCGCGTCGCGGCCCCCAGGAGGGTCGGAGAGTCAAAGTCCCGAGCCTTTCCGAGCCTCCCGCCCCGCAGAGCGGAGCGACACGCCATCCGCTCGTAAGGCATACTCAGCGTGTCGCCAGGGCCGCCGCCGCGGCACTCTGCGCAAAAGTTCCCGACCCCGACGCTCCCCCTCGCCAGGAGGCAGGCCGCCGCCCTGGGCGCCGCCGCCTGCGCCGGCGCGGCGGGCGCGGAGGTGGAGACCCTGGGCTGGCAGGCCGAGCAGCTGCCGATGCAGGGCCCGGTCGGCGCGGTGTTCGTGCGCGAGGTTTTGGCGACTACAGGAGGGTGTGGTTGCGCCGGGATGTGGTCTGCGATCTGCGCCGTGGGGACTGGGGGGGAACCACGCCGCCCTCGTCCGCGCCTCCTCGGGGCGCGGCGAAGAGAACTCTGTCGAGGTCCTCGCCTGTCCCCCAGGGTGCGGGTGGCAAGCCGCACCCTTTGCAAACCACATCCTTTTCCAGACATCCAGCCGCTCCATTTCTTGTTCGATGCGTGGGCCCCAGAGGTCTGGACCACTTCCCCAGGGCCGGCTTTTCGAATCGCTGTTTGATGGTCCCGAGGCCCGGCGAGGGCCCCCGGAGGCCGAAAACGGTCCCAAAGGGCGTCGGCTCTTTGGGTTGGCTGGCGTCGCCCAAAGAGGTGGTGGAGGGCGGTTGGGCGGCGCGGCTGGGCGTGCGGCAGGGCGACCGGGTGGCCCTCATCAACAAGAGGCCGCCCGAGCAGCTGACGCGCGAGGAGCTCGAGGGGGGCGAGCCGCGAGGCAAAAGCCGAGGGAGGAAAAACCACCCCAGACCAGACCAGTGGCGTGTGCTAAACGGCCCTGGGCCTTTCCTAAACAGCCCTGCCCTGCTCGATTCCTTCTTCGGGCGCGTCTACTAAACGGCTTCGCGTGTCAGGGTGATTATTGCGAAGGCCTGACGGCCGGTGCCGCCGACCCTGAAGAGGACCACGACGTCGGCGACGAAGTGGGCGGAGACGGAGGCCGTGGAAGATGAGGAGGAGGAGGAGGAAGAGGTGAGGAGGGGGAGAAGGAGAAGGAGGAGGAGTAGGAGGAGGAGGAGGAGGAGGGAGGAGGAGGGGGGAGGAGGAGGAGGAGGAGGAGGAGGAGGAGGAGGGGAAGGAGGAGGAAGGAGGAGGAGGAGGAGAGGAGGGAGGAGGAGGATTGGATGATACGTCTGCTCCCATCCGTGGGCGGGGGGGGGCCCGCTCGGCAGACTGGTGCGCCTGGAGCCCCCGGAGGGGCCCGGCCACCGCTCTCGGAGCGGCCGTGGTCTCGCCCGAGCGACGCCACGGAGGGGGGCCGTCTGCGCCGACATTGGCGCGTCGGCTGCCTGCGCAAGCTGCCTCGGGGAAGGGGCAGGAGGAGGAGGGGGAGGGGGAGGAGGAGGAGGAGGAGGAGGAGGAGGAGGAGGAGAGGAGGAGGAGGAGAGGAGCAGGAGGAGGAGGAGGAGTAGGAGGAGGAGCAGGAGGAGGAGGAAGGAGGAGGAGGGGAGGAGGGGCCATCTCGCGTGCCTGGCCCTGCCGCGAGAGGAGCTGATCCTCGCCATCCGGGGCCGCCCAGTGGAGCTCGCCTTCGAGCGCCCCGAGGCCCCGCCCGCGCCCGGGCCGCCCGAGGGGCGGCCCGCGCCGCTGCGGGGCGGCCAGGGGCTGCCCGTGCGGATCGAGACGCGCGGGGTCCCGGTGCTGATGTACGCTCCGCTGGAGGAGGCCGACGGGACGTAAGAGTCGGGGGCGGAAAAGAGGGGGGTGATGACTAGGGGGGGGTGATATCATGGTGGGGGCCATGATATTTCCCCAGGTTTCAGGGCGCCTCTTCTGATTTCATCACGTCCCTGGCCCCCCCGCGGGGCCACGCACATGCCGCCGGTCATGATTTGCACCCCCTCCTCTTGGACACCCCCCTCTTGGCCGCTCCCGAAAGAGTGACCCTTCGCCGCAGTGGCCTTCGGTGCGGGCCCAATGTCCAGGCCTCCTAGATGGGGTCCGAGCAGATGGGGTCGGAGGATCGCGCTGCATCGCCGATGCATCGGCGATGCGGTTCGATGTAGAGCCCGTGCTTTCCCACGCCGGAATCGCCGGTGCATCGGCGATGCATTGGCGATGCGGCGCGATCCTTCGACCCCATCTACTCCGACCCCGTCTAGGAGGCCTCTACAATGGGGTCCCCCGACCCCCGATCGCCGAACGCGAAGCGGCAGCAGCGGCCTGCGCGCACAGGTCTGGCTGCCCCGTGTCCCCCGTGAAGCCGCGCACCAGAGGTCGCTCTTGCCCGGGGTCACTCCTGCGTGTAGCCGAGGGTCAGCCGCGCGCAGAGGGGGGTAGGGGTGAGGGTAGGGGAAGGCGCGGGCCTTGTCTTTTGATGTAGGGCAAGTGTCTTCTAAGAATCAGCCTCCTTCGAAGAAGCCTTCCCCCCTCCCCTACCCCCTGTTGCGCTCCGCCGAGGAGGCTCGGCGGCAAGCTCCGAACCCCACCCTCGCCGATCAACGAGTCGGGCAGCTCGAGGGACGGCAGGGTTTAGGGTTCGGAAGCCGTCGATCACGTGGCCGAATCCGACACATGCCCCCGCCTATTTACCAACGGTTCAGGAGAATAGATGGTTGCTGGGGGTAGGTAGGGCTCGGATGTCGCCACCTGAAGGTGGAGGAGCAGGCGCGCAACCAGCTCATCAGCCTGGCGGAGTCGCCTCTGCCGGTCGGCCACGTCTCCGCCATGCCGGACGTGCACATGGGGAAGGGCGTGGCTATCGGCGCGGTCTTCGCTTCCGAGAAGTACGTGTGCCCGAACGCTGTGGGGGTGGACATCGGCTGTGGCATGTGCGCTGTGCCGGTGTCTGGTCTCTTTAAGGACGACCTGAGCGAAGAGACGCTGCGCCACATCCAGGGCCTGCTGAAGAGGAGGATCCCAGTGTCGATGGAGTCCCACGACACCGCCCTGGCGTGGGCTAGCAAGACGATACAAGACATCACCGCGGAATGCCCTCCTTCCCAGTACCTGGAGCGGCGCCTCCACGCCGAGCGCAATGGGAAGTTGGGCAAGATTCATAATCAGTTGGGTACCCTTGGCGGCGGAAATCATTTTATCGAGGTTGTTTACTCGGAGGGGGACCAGCAGGTGTGGTGCATGTTGCACAGTGGGAGCAGAAATGTAGGCAATACTACAGCTGCGCATTATGACGAGATCGCTGGACGAGAAGGAGAATTTCTGCAAGGCGTGGCTGGCTCACTGAACTACCTGGAGATTGAAAGTCCTAGTGGACAGGCCTACCTGAAGGATATGACTTGGTGCCAGGCTTACGCTAGAGAGAACCGTCGGAGCATGTTGGACATCATGGTGGAATCGGTTGAGGAGGTCACGGGCAAGCGCGCAGACATGGAGAGGGCAGTGAACGCGCACCACAACTTCTGCCAGTGCGAGACCTGCCATGTCGAGAACCCCCTCACTGGGCAGGTCGAGGAGCGCAAGCTGTGGGTGACCCGCAAAGGGGCCACGAGCGCGCGGGAAGGCCGGCAGGGGTGAGGGGAATCGCCCACTCGGCGCCGATGGCGAGGGCCACCGAGGAAGCCCGTGGATCATCTTGCGAACAAAACGTGCGCACGACACCGAAACATGCCCGGGGAATGGGCGTCCGAGCGATGGCGAGGTGAGGGGGGGGGGGATTGGGCTCAGGCAGGGGCATGCGCCACTCGGCGCCGACAGGGGCCCGAGAGCCCACGCCGCCCAGGAGCGTGCGGAATCGCCGTCGGGGGCCCATCGCCGAGACGCATCGGCGGTGCGTCACCAGTTCCAGCTCAAGGTGCCACCTCCCCGTCCGAGCGATGGCGGGGTGAGGAGAGGGGTTGGGCTCAGGAAGGGGCATGCGCCGGCCCCCTCTCGCCCACTCGGCGCCGACAGGGGTCGTGGAGCGTGCGGATTCGCCGTCGGTGGCCCATCGCCGAGGTGCATCGGCGAGGCATCACCGAGTCCAGCTCGGCGCTTCCCCCCCGTCGGAGCTGCCCCCCCCTTCGCAGGCCTAGAGGTTGACACCAACACCAATATCGGCGGTGTGCCTCCACCGAGGGAAGAAGATCCCGATCTCGGTGACCGAAACATTGCCACCAACACCCCAATGGAAGATCACCTTCCCCGTGTGGAGGCAACCCCCCGTGTTGGTGTTGGTGCCAGTGTCCAGGCCTCCAACCCCTGCCGTTCCTCCGCAGGCCAGTACGGCATCATCCCCGGCAGCATGGGGGTCGGCAGCTACATCGCAGGGCTGGACCCAAACGGTGCTTTTGGCGATCTCATGGGCCGTTTTCGCTTCGACTTCGTCTTGCGGTAAAGGCGAATGCAAAACAAAACAAAAAGGGGATACCGAAAGCAAAACGACAACGAAGAAAACACCGTTCAGGATCAGCCCTGCCACGTCGTCCGGGGCCGCGGCGCGCGCGGCTCGTGGCAGAGCTGCTCGCACGGCGCGGGGCGGCGCATGTCGCGGACCAGGGCGAAGAAGGTCATCCCGCAGGATCCGGGGCGGGAGTTTACACATCCATCGACCACCGCCTGGAGGGTCCGTTTTCGGAGCCTCGGCAGGCGGTGGACATGGACATCTTCGGGCCCCCTGGGGGCCGGACCAGACCGATTGGCGTTTACGAACGGCCCCGGGGGTTTATTACACAGCCCTGCCCTGTTCGATTCCTTTTCTGGGCGCGTTTACGAAGCGACTTCGCGTGTCGGGGTGGTTCTTATCGGGGCGGAGTTTCTGCCCTCCACAGGAGGAGTTCGAGGCATCCATGAAGGGAATCGTGTGCGACACGAATGCCGCCGTGCGCGACGAGGCGCCGCAGGCCTACAAGGACCTGGCCACGGTGCTCGCCCACCAGGCCGAGCTGGTGGAGGTGGAGCATCGGCTCCTGCCCCTCGTGAACGTCAAGGGCTTCGAGGATCAAGGGAGGAAAAACCACCCGGACCGGACAATTGGCGGCCCTGGGCGTTTACTAAGCATCCCTGCCCCGTTCGATTCCTTTTTTGGGTGCGTTTACTAAACTGCTTCGCGTGTCGGGGTGGTTATTGTCGGGGTGGATTTTCTGCCCTCTAGAGGAGAAGGGCTGGGGCGGCAAGGGCGGCCGCACGGGCCGGGGCCCGCGGACGCAGCAGAGCGGGGGCCCTCCGAGGAAGGCCGCGAAGAAGGGCAGGGGCGCCCAGGCATGATGCCCACGGGCAGTCCTCGTCCTCCATTATCCTCCTCCTCCTCCCCCTCCTCCTCCTCCTCCCCCTCCTCCTCCTCCTCCTCCTCCTCCTCCTCCTCCTCCTCCTACTCCTCCTTCGCGCAGAGCGGAGGGGACGGGCAGTCCTGCAGCCCAACTGCCATCTGCAGGTCCGCGTCTGCTCTGCGGCGATGTTGGCTGGCCTCTCTCTCTCTCTCTCTCTCTAGCCCGCGCAGCGAGGGCACGGCCGCCGGATGTCTCTTCGCAGCGTGGCATTGGCGCATCTGCTCAGACAACCTCTAGGGTGCTGGGCTTCGCTCCAATTCTAGGCCCTCGCCAGATCGGTCGAGCCGCTCGGCCCATGTAAATATCCCCGCAGAAGTGAGAACGCTGCGAGCGAAGGCGCCCCGTCAGATTCTCAACAGTGTCGTCTCCGTCGGGCGACTATTTCTTGACATTGTAGAGGCCTTCCGGCCGGTGCCGCCGACACGTTCAGGGTCAGGTTGGCCCTCCTTGGCCGTCTGAAGTCGACCGCGACACTTGTGGAGGCTTATGGTCCATGGTCATGACGGGGGCATGCGTAGCACAGGGTAGCTGAGCGTCATCGCCGTAGCTTACCACGTTACGAACGGATACCAAAGCCCTCCGCCTCTTCCCCCTTTGCCTGTTGCGAATCCAGGAAGAGGAGGAGGAAGAGAAGGAGAAGGAGGAGGAGAAGGAGGAGGAGGAGGAGGGACAAGGCTCCAACAACATCGGACACAGGGCTTGAAGGGGCCCATCGGGCACGAAGCGTGTGAGCGATGTGCGGAATCATGGAGCCCGCCCCGCGGGCAGGACGGCGTGGGCCGCCCGCGTCCTGGGCCGCCCGGGGCCGCGCCCGCGCCCTCGCCCTCGTGCACTGGCGCAGCGGGCACCGTCCGGCACCCGGGTGGCAGGCCGCGTGAGCCCCGCTCGTCCTCGGCACGGTCCCTCTCCCTCCTCTTTCTCCTCTTCCTCCTCCTCCTTCTCCTCCCCCTCTTCCTCCTCCTCCCCCTCCTCCTGGCGGTGCGCGCCCCCTGGCACATCCTGGAACCTTGGTGGCAGACTGTGTGACCCGCTCGCCGGCGACAGGACGCTGTCTTGGCGCAAGCTCCTCGTCGGCATGGCAAGCGCGCTCGCGCTCCCCGAGCCTGGCCTCGCCCCGCCGCTTTCGACACCGCCGCAGCGCCGCGTGCGCTCCGCACTCGCGGCGTCACCTGGTCTCCCCTGGAGCCTTGCTCGGTCGACCACCCGCTTGGCGAGACAGAGCTAGGGGGCCACACGCGAACCCTACTACTACTACTACTACTACTACTACTACTACTACTACTACTACTACCACTACTACTACTACTACCACCACCACCACCACCACTACTACTACTACTACTACTATTACTACTACTACTACTACTACTACTACTACTACTACTACTACTACTACTACTACTACTACGACTACGACTACTACTACTACTACTACTACTACTACTACTACTACTACTACTACTACTACTACTACTACTACTACTACTACTGCTACTACTACTACTACTGCTACTACTACTACTACTACTACTACTACTACTACTACTACTACTACTACTACTACTTCTGACTACTACTACTGACTACTACTACTACTACTACTACTACTACTACTACTACTACTACTACTACTACTACTACTACTACTACTACTACTACTACTACTACGACTAACTACTAATTACTACTACTACTACTACTACTACTACTACTACTACTACTAACTTACTAACTGCTAACTACTACCTACTACTAACTACTAACTACTACTACTACTACTACTACTACTACTAACTTACTAACTACTAACTACTACCTACTACTAACTACTAACTACTACTACTACTACTACTACTACTACTACTACTACTACTGCTACTACTACTACTACTACTACTACTAACTTACTAACTACTAACTACTACCTACTACTAACTACTAACTACTACTACTACTACTACTACTACCACTACTACTACTATTACGACTAC